ACAATAACAGTAACGCGTGGGGAGGGGGGGGGGTGGTTGGGATACAGAGTATGGGGAAAAAGACGTAGCTGTCAGAATAGAAGATTACGAATAAGTGGAATAAAAATTTTTTTGTGTTTCACCGTACATTTTGAAATTTTTTGTTTGTGGTTTATGCGGGGTACGGGATTTCGACAGGTAGACCGTACAAGCCACTGACTTCTATTCCGGGCCATATCTCTCAGCGTCTCTAACCAACGACAATCCTCATTCTGTGGGCCCCAACCTGGGAGACGGACAGTACCAACCGAAGCCAGCTTCTTCATATCTCTACACAACGTTATGGTCAGACCGCCGCGGCGCTTCTTCCAGCCTTTCCCGGCACGTGCAAAGAGCACGGAAAGGTGGTTCATGGGTACAAATACGCAATATGTGACCAAGCCATCGGAGGCGATGTGGAGCGATTACTTCTGCTGGAGAGCGACTATCCACAACCAACACACGACGATGAACCCTGTCAGTGCTCACCCGATGTCCCCAACAGACACAATCAATACTTCTGAGACATCTGTGGTGGAATACAGAAAGTCGATTAGCACCCTCAACGCGGAGGTCTCACAACCGTAAAGCAGAACGCTACGAACCGCGGCGATGTACACCCTCCCCTTAAGGAACAGTCGGATGTTATGGCGTCGCCACAGGTGTCACAGGTTGGTGAAAGCTGCTCTAGCTTTCGCTTTTCGTGAGGTGATCTCTCCGAAACCAACACCAGCTGCGATCAAGCTCCCGAGGTACTTAAAGCTCTCACCCACTTCCAGCAGATCACAACAGAGGGTGAGTGCAGGCACAGGTTCCTGCCAGTCTTGTACAAGCACTTTGCATTTGGACGGCGCAAAGCACATACCATACCTGGACACCGCTCGCCAAGCGGTCCAAAGCGTGTTGGACTGCCTGTGTGTTGTCACCCAGCAAGGCGATGTCATCGGCATATTTCAAGTCAAGAACTCCGTTCCATGGGAGGAGTTCAAATCCATCGTTTGCTAGATCGGATAAAGCATTCTGTAGAACATCCCCTATGACAAAGTTCAAAAGGAATGGGGACAGGGCGGTCTTATCGGACTCTACTGGAGACGGCGAAGGGCTGGCCATAGGCCCTAACCTGACCTGAGGTATGACGATATAACTCTTTGAGCATCGATACATACCTCTCAGGTACTCCATTCTCCAACAAAGACTGCTCTATAAAATCGCCTGTGCTTCCATTGGCAATAACTGCCATATACTGAGCGGGCACGGAAGTTGCACAATTGCCGAACGATCCCCCCGCGCGTAAAATGGACTCCTTGGGAATTGATGTTTGCGGCGTATCAAAAACGCAAATCCAGGATCCTATAAACCACCTAAGTGTCTTCGAGGTACGTTATCCGCAAATCAAAATGATAAAAGCCCATTTAGTAGGCCAGCGTCACTAGTCGATTGGATCCACGTTAACAGTCGATTATCTGCGATGCGGCCCCAAAAGTATACCAGCATCCGAAGGGGAAGCAACGCCAAAAGGGGATTGTTCACCATTTCAGTGTTTTCATTTGTGGTAGAACAAAACCTCAATCAGCATCCTCCGCTCAGAGAGGTCAGGTCTCACAATCGTAGAGCAGAACACTTCGAACCGTGGCCATGTTCAGCCTTCTCCTAAGGGGTAGTCGGATGTAATCGCGGTGTTAGGTTGGCAAAAACTGCACTAGCTTTCGCTTCCCATACACATAAGGATGCTACCTTAAAAGAAACGGGTCTAGAGGTTGATCACCGAAATGGTAGATAGCTGAAGGGGAAGAACCTGAGGTTAAGCTCTCTGGCTTTTCCATTAGAAGGGAGACTTGCGGTAGACCTGATAAAAGACTTCAAGACTGAGCGCAGTATCGGTGGCAGGACTGTAGAGTTTCAAAGCTGGAGTTTAAGCTCATAGGGCACCTGTACGAGCTGAATATAAGCGAGCACTTCTTCCGCAATGGGGCCACTGACAGATGGAACAATCTTTCGAGTGAAACAACTGACCTTAAGACAATGTCAACTTCTAACACTGCACTAGATGCACACTGGACGGCGTTACTTCCATTCATAGCAGTGCAGCCGATACGCAACTCAGATATGTAATTTTATTCGATAATTTTAATCTCATATAGGTAGCGGGAGACATTTCTAAGAAACCGCTGGTCAAGTAGCTGAAATGAGATCATATCTGTTGTCGACTCCACTGGAAATAGGCACCATGGAATGAGCATTTAATCGAAGGAATTTTGGACGCTCACTGGGCTGTGTTCGTATTCGAGCATGTGAAACCTGATTTGGCCGAACCTAAAAATGCGGTGATTCCATTGGACTTTAGGGTGCTTCAACAGTGGTAAAATTCAAAGCAAATACTTTCAAATGGAGCAGTGGCAAGAGCCAGTGAAAAAAACCTAGTTCTTGATATCGAGTTTTTACCCACGGACTGATAAACACCGAGGTTCCAAGGTTTATGTCCAAGTCTTGGTTGGTTCTAAATACCGGAGTATTTAAATACCCGACTGAATATGGTTTTAATCACAACCACGCTTGGGCACCATCATTGAGATCACAGTTTGTCTTTCAACGATAAGTGTTAACTTCGTTTTCCTGGGATACGACTTACTTGGTCTACCTTCTTTTTGAGGATTTCAACTTCTTTTGCGCTGGAGAAGGTTACGTCCAAACCAGGAGACAACGCGAAAATGAAGAGCACACCCGCATCTGTGGATTCCGTGATGAGGCTTTGCAGTTGCTGCTCTTCTTCTGGAGTGTAAAGATCTCGCCATGACTGTCTGTGTTTAATATCATCCTTTGGAGCATACAGGTAGGCATTCATGCCCATTTGATTCATTCTGAAATAATCATTAAAAACAAAACAACAAACCTCCTAAACAACTCTTTACGTTGAGGATAAGTCCATGGGCGTCCATAAAACCCTGTACAATTGAATATAGAGATAATTAAGTTACGAACCCTCAACAACTCCCGTTAAAAACTCATCACCGATGGGAATCTTCTTTGACTCGGACATGTGAGAATGACTGCAGGACACCGCGTTTATAGTGCATGCACCGATACGATGCACATAACTTGGCGAAGATAAGAGTTTTCCGGAGTAACAAAGAGATGTATTCGGAAATAAACAAATCGACGCTTTTTTAGTCACAGCAAGTTTTATATTGCGAACATATCCCACTAATATTACTGAATTGGCCTTAGGAAGCAGCCTTGCCTCGAAATATTGGTCAAAGCTGAATTGATCCCAAAAAAGACAGATAATTCAAATATTGTTCGCGTCCTTGCTCGGAACAGATCATATCAGATCAGATTTTTCAGGATTTGCCGCTGGAGCCAACGAGAAGTCTTGAAGTGATTCACGGGTTCGAGACTGTTGCCCAAATGTCTCGGGTTCTTTAAAGTATCTTTATCTTCCGTTCGTTCGATGTTTTTTAGAACTGAGTGTACCGAAAAGGTATTAGTAGGGTTCCCCGCTCGAGGCGGGAAGTAGAATGAAGAATTGCGAACTCTCGTATAATTCAAAACTTTTCTTTTACAAGGTTTTCTTTTATTGAGGGTGAGCAGATAAATCCAATTGACGGACAAGACAAAGTCTAAAGTTTTAAAGTATTTCACGGGTTCGATGCTAAGCCCAATAGTCCTGGATTCTGGATTGTCGGTTTTTGATTGATAAGTAATGCCACCTAAGAGAATGTGATAGCAAGGCCCTCTAATGAAGGTGATTGACATGGGGATTCAGGTAATAAAAAGGACGAGCCTGAAAGGGAAGAGGTGAGGGGAGGTTTGCAGTATCTGCTTGCAGTGCACAATTATACGCAATTGGATAGTGAACACATTTTTACGTGTACATTGAAGCTAACCAGAGTTAACGGCCTTCCGGTATGTCTTCTTACGGGTCTCAGTATCGCG